TAATAAAAATTACAGAATCGTAGTGTGCTAATTACTGTTGTGTTTAACCTTATAGAAAAATTTTGTTAAAATCGGATTAATGAAAGTAAATATCACTGTTTTCAACCATTAACACATATTAGTTTAGTTTCAATATTCAGCAGGAAATTTAAAAAAAGGCGTAAAAGTTTGATATAAATTTTGTCTAATAGTCTTAAGTGTTTTAGCAACCTCATTTTATAGAAAAAAGGGGAGGGGTGCATTTTCTTGGTGATAAAAATGGTTCACTTCTTTTGATTCAAGAACTTATTCAAAACTTTACTTTAAACTAAATTTATTTTAAGTAATATTCACGAGAAATATTTTAAGTAATAATAAAAATCGGTGCTGGTTTTTAGATACCCTTTTTTAACTTGGGTGGGGGGTAGCGCTTTCAAGCATGAAAGGTAAGCAAGTCAACAATCTATTTAAAAACGCAAAAAAATATTTTGTAGAAAGCTTTCTATGAAAATTTCGAAAAAAAATACTAATGTATTTAAATATGAAAATTAGGAATCTTATTAATAAAGAAAACATTTATTGTGTGATAAAATACATTTTGTGGTTGAATGGGTTTGCAAGCTCAATGCTTTCAGTAACAAACATCAGCAACAAATATCAGCGAGGAAACGCAAATAGTTAAAATTAAGCAAACGTAAACAAAATTAGTTTGTATACCTACCTCTGTATAGACTAGTAAACAAAGATCTTATACAAAAAGACGGTTTGTATTATGCACGTTTTGTCATTTTTAAAAAAATTTCAAAATATTAAAAAAATTAAAACGAGTCTTTAATGTTTTTATTTTATTGTCTTAGCAAATTCGACGGTAATGCTTTTAACATGGGCGCTTCTATGAGAACTCAATAAAATAAATTTGAGCCATTAATATTTAATTGAATATCTCGTTGTTCTATTTTGTTGTACGAGACTTTATTTTATATAAAAATTTATTTGTTAACTAATTGAACAAATTTGCTAAAGCAATTTTACTAGATAGAACAAATTTTACTGGATAGGACAATAGTTTTCATTTTTCTGTTTACATAAATTTCGCATATGAATATTTTTAATATACTACCATATATTCAATATATGTCATAGTATATACAGTAAAAAAAAAGCCTTATCCTCAAACTCCTTTAATTAGTTAAAAATAAGAAAAAAGAAAAAAAAACTAACAAAAGTGGCTTAGCTAATAAATTAAAGTATGTAAATAAATAGATAAATTAAAGCTTTTTTGCATAATGACACCATGATAGGATGGCCAATCATATTGACTGAAGAGATATGGTTATACTTATATATCTAAATATAAGTAAAATTATTTATCAATATATAACTGTAGCCATTGGTCAATTTATGATAAGCGCAATTAATATTTTGCATGAGAAGAGTTTGAAAATTTGATTTATTGCCATAAATCGGGTAGTTATGAAAAATAAATTATTTTTCATAAATATAAATTATTTTTTTAAAGCTATAGTAATCATAGTTTGACCAAATGAAAGATCTATCGAAGTATAACAAAACTGCATATATGTTTCTTATAATAATAATAATATATATATATATATATATATATATATATATATATATATATATATATATATATATATATATATATATATATATATATATATATATATATATATATATATATATATATATATATATACATACATATGTATATATTTGTTTTTATGATTTCTGATGAGTCTTTGTTGATGAAACACAGTGTAAAATGAAAAAAAATTTTGTTAAATGATTTTCTACTAATTTGTAATTGCTCTGTTCTTTTAAGATTGATTCTTTTGACATTGAGCACTTTATTTTGAAGAATACATTTTTTTTTTAAATTGTTTAAATATTTTTTTGTTTTTCTATTTTAAATATAAATTGTTTTTCTATTGGTTCTCACAAGCAACTCTGTTAAATTTTTTCAAAATTTTATCGGATTTAGGGGGAGCACAAGACCCTTGAACACTTACCGGGTCCCTATTAATATTTAAAAAAATTATTCTCAAAAGTATGTCATGTTGGGTCTCAAAAGAAGCGAAATTATATAAAAATTTTACAAATTACAATTATTAAAAAAAAAAATTATTATTCAATTTTTTTTTTTGGAATAATTATCGGAAAAATACACTTTTTTTATTTTTAGGTTAAAAAAGGTCATTTTTCTACAAAAAACAAAGTAGGAGACGTACGAGATTTTTTTTAATTATCATTCAGAATTAAAAAACATTAACTTGCTTACTAAACTTTATTTATTATCCAGTAACCTACAGTGCACTGTAAGAAACAGTGTAAATAAACCATTTGACGCACGTTTTAAACCCCTTGTCTTATTTTTTACGTTATTTTCTTTATTTAACGTTTTATTGATGAGTTTAAAGTTAATGATAACAAATAGTTTTAAATTTAAGGTAATGAACAAGTATTTTTAATTCTTCTTAAAATTACACTAAAAATCATATAATGAATATATTAAGGTGGTAGTACCCCAAAAAACAGGCTGAATTTTTTTTTAACAATTTTCATTCATTTATCATGTCTACTCTTATAATAATTCAAAAAAATTAAAAAAAAAATAATCAAAAGGCCCAAATTATCCTTAATAATTTGGTACTGGAAAATTAATTGTCTTAGCAACGGTCCTTAGAGATACATTTCTTGCTATATCTTAAAAAATAAAAGTTTAATTTATATGCTTTTTTTGTGTGCTTATGACTAAATTGTTCCTTAAGAACTCTTGTTAGTTTTTGATCTAATATCTGATAAATTGAAACCTCATATTTGTTTCTGTAATATATAGATAATTATCCTTTTATAAAATTTTCTTTGATTGATGGATAATTTTGATAAGTTGTCTGATAAATGGGTTCAAAAAAAAGATATGCTAAATCAAGAGCAAAGATAAGAAATTTTCGTAAATTAGAAAAAGATTCTCTAAATAATTCAAATGCTTTACAACAAACTGTTTTGTCTCCACATTCACCAAGCAATGTAAGTGGATCGGCATCTGGAAAAAAAATAAACTTGTCTCTCTTAGATATAGAAAACTTTGATTATATAGAAAAAGAGTATAATATAATTATAAACTCAAATTTATTTTCAAGTTTGTTGAAAACAGTTGGAAGATGCCCAGAATGCTATGCGTCAATCAATATTATACATGACATTAATAAAAAAGAGGGTCTTTCTCACACTTTCCTAATTTCTTGTCAAGATTGTACATGGACGATGAATTTTTTAACTTCGAAATCAATAGAAAATAAAAATGAAGTAATCAAAGGTAAAAAAATGAAAGAAATTAAACTACGTACTGTGTTAGCTTTTCGAGAAATCGGGCAAGAATACACAGCAATTAATACTTTTTTTCGTTTAATGAATATGCCTCCAGGTATGACTAAACGTGCTTATCATAATATTAATAACAAACTTCACCTTGCTTACATTGAAACCTCTAGACAGAGTACGAAAAAAGCCTCAAAAGACATACGTAGGGAAAAACTTGGTAAAAATTATGATGAATCTTAAATTGTCAATGTTGCTGTTAGTTTAGATGGTTCATGGCACCGCAGAGGATACTCCTCAATGAATGGTATAGTCACAGCAATATCTCATGGAAAGTGTATTGATGCTGCTGTCCAGACAAAAAGTTGTTACCCCTGCAAGATATGGTCAAGAAGAAAAGGTACTCCGGTATACGAGAACTGGAAGATCACACATAACTGCAAGATCAATCATAAGGGTAGCTCAGGAAGTATAGAATCTGTAGACGCTGTACAAATATTCAAGCAATCTGTCAAGGAGCTTAAACTGAAGTACCTAACATACATTTGAGATGGAGATACCAAGTCTTATATGCAAGTTTGTGATGCAAATCCATACCCAGGACATGTTCAGAAGAGAGTTGGTGCAAGACTACGAATGTTGCGAGATCGTTACAAAGGTAATACATTATCAGATGGAAATTACATCAGTGGGAAACTAATAAGTGGATAAATACTCTTCAAAACTATTATGGAATAGCAATACGCCAAAATATTGATAGTCTTTATGGGATGAAAAAGGGTTGCTGCAGTACTTTTTCACTGCACACAATCTGACAACTTAGAGCAACAGCACCAGTTTTGCCTTAAAGGTTCAAGTTCATGGTGTAAATATCATTCAGACCAGAAAAATTACAATTCAAAGTGTATTCCAAAAAGCTATAACTGAGCTCATTAAGCCAATTTTTTCTTACAAAGATCTTGGCAGTGATGAATTGCTCAAGAAATGTTTACATAGCCAAACTCAAAATGTCAATGAATCGCTAAATGGGATGGTTTGGGCTCGCGCACCCAAGAGAGTACCTGTGGAAAAAACAGTTGCTGAGATTGCTTTGGCCTCTGCAATAATTAGCTTCAATTCAGGGTTTACTACCAGTGTTTAAAAAATGTAATGTTGTTCCTGGATATTTTACAACAAAAAGTTCTCTAAATGTAGATTATGTACACGTTAAGCAGAATGAGATAAAATGTACAGGTGCCACAAAAAACAGGAGAAAAAAGAGCTATTTAAAAAGGCTTTATTGACCAACATAACGAAGCAGAAGGTGTTACATACACAGTGGTGGTTTTAAGTAGGTTTTAATGTGTAAAAAACTTTAATATTTTTTTAAATTGTGTTTTTCTAGCGATTCACTTTTTGTGTATCTTTTAATTTTTTAACAAAGATAACTTTTCAACCGCTCATTGGAGTTCTTTCAAATTTTCAGCAATTACTCTTGAGCGTATTTGCGATGCGCTAAACCAAAAAAAAATTAACTTTTGTTTATATTAAAGTATTAAAATTTGAGCTTTAGCAAGCTGTACTTATACTTTTTTTTTTATTGATAGAATTTAATGATTTTAATGTTATTAAATGTTGTTTATTGTATAATTTTTAATTTAGCACATTTTTTTAACATATATAAAACTACTGATTAAATTTGG